TTGACTTATTTCGCTCAGCATAACACCCTCCAGTTCCATCCACGTCGTTGCAAATGGCAAGATCTCACTCCTTTTGATGGCTGCATAATATTCCATTGTATATATATATACCACAAAAGATATGCTAATTCTAAAATTCACATTTGGAATTGAAAGGGGCCCAGAAGAGCTAAACCCTTCTTTTTCAAGAAGAACAAAGGAGGAGGACATACACTTCTCGATCTCACACTTTCTACAAAATGACAGTAATCAAGACAGTGCAGTACAAGCATAAGGATAGGCAAGAAGATCAAAGGAACACAACTAAGAGTCTCAAAAGAAACCATGTATCTGTGGTCACCTAATTTTTGACAAGGTGGCAAGACTATTCAATGAAAGAAAGAGTCATCTCAACAAATGGCCCAGGATCATCTGGATTAGCACATTACATGAAAAAATGAACTCACGTGGATCAAAGACCTAAATGTGAGAGCTAGAACTCTAAAATCCTCCGAAGACGCAGGCATAAATTGCCATGTCCTTGGATCAAGCCATAGTTTCTCAGATAGGACACCAAAAGTTTGAGCAACAAAAGAAAAAACTAAAAAATTGGACTTTGAAACTAAAAACTCATGCTTCAGTGGGCACCAGCGAGAAAACAGAACAAACAAAACAAAGAAACTGGGAGCAAATACCTGGAAATCTGGAAATCATATGGCTGACGGTAGACTTGTAGAACATGTAAGAATTCTTATAATTTAACAGTAAAAATACAGATAATTCAGTTAAAAATGGGCAAAGGATAGGAATAGTTATACGGATGGCCAGCAAGCACAAGAAAAGATGCTTGAAATCAGTAGCCATCAGGGAAATGCAAATCAAAACCACACTGAGATACCACCTCACACCCACTAGGATGGCCAGAACCAAAAGGTCACATAAGAAGTGTTCATGAGGATGTGGAGAAATAGGACCCCTCATATAGGCTGGTGGGAATGTAAAACGGTGCGGCCACCGTGGAAAACAATCTGGCAATTCTTCAAAGAGTTACCATATGACCCAGCAATTCTACTCCTAGGTATATATCCGAGAGAAATGGAAACGTATTAAAGTTCACACAAAAACTTGTATATGAATGTCTACAGAGGCATTATTCATAATGGCCAAAAGGTAGGAACCACCCAAATGTGCATCAACTGATGATGGATAAAAATGAGGCATATCCACAGGATGAACCATTATGTAGCCACAGAAAGGAATGAGGTACTGATACATGCTGTAATTTGGATGAACCTTAGAAACACGCTAGGTGAAAGAAGCCAGACACAGAAGTCCGCGTATATGCTTCCATTCAAGTAAACATCCAGAATACAATTATCATATGGAGACAGAAAGTAGATCAATGGGTGCGCAGGGCTGGGAGGTGGGAGGATGAGGATGGGGGGCGATAGCTAAAGGAGATGGGGTTTCTTTTTGAGATTAAAAAACAAAAAAGTTCTCAAATTCACTGTGGTGACAGTTGCATATCAATGAATACACTAAAAGCTCCTGGATCACGCTTTAATTGGGTGAAATGTCAGGTATGGGATTTATATTCCAACAAAGCTGTTAAAACAAAAACCACTGAAAGGTACAAAGGGTCAAAGTGTCCTGTCCTCCTCTGCCTTCTGTCCTATTCTCTAGGGGTTATAAACAGAGTTAACGATTTCCCGGGTCCCGTGCTTGAGGTTTTTCTAGGGATGGACAGCATGTACAGCATATATTTCCCTAGGCATGCTGATTGCAGCTTTTATGTCCTTCATCTGGAATCATCTATTCACCTATCTTTAGTGACCCCAGGATTTCCTACCGTGCGTGTCCCTTACTAATGTGCATCCAGCTTGCTCCCGCTGGCTTGCTGTGAGAGATGGGTGCACGGAATGTAGACTTTCGCATTCCTGTGCAGGGTTATCTATTCACACAACGTTTACGGATGAACTGCCTTATAGACGTTTTTCTTAGCATCATTAGTACCAAGCAGGAAAAAAAATGACTTAGATCTGTTGTTGGTTAATTTAGCTGAATGAAGTTTCAGTGCATTCTATTAGCGCCCAGCTTCCCACAGAACAAAGACAGCAACTCACTCTTTCTCCCAGGCCTGGGCCCTCTGGAGCTTCTCTGTATCGTTGTAGTAATTATTGACAGGAAAGGTAATCACAAGGGCTGTGGCATTATTGTAGTTTTGATCTAGAATGGGAAAAATGGGACATCCAGAAGATGAGAAGCAGGCAGAAAATTAGATAAACACGAGGGAAAATCCCGAGACCACGAGGTGACTGATTTCTCACGGGGGCTGTAGTCTATGCTCTAAGAACAAAAACCAGTTCACTGACATAGTGTCTGTGCAGCTCAGTTAATGAATAAAAAGGATGCTCTAGAATCTGACATGGGCAGTTTCGTTCAGGATGAGTAACTTCTTTTTTTAACTATGTAGCATGTGCGTGGTAAAAATTTCAAGCAGAAAGGTGATCCATGTAGACTCTCCTTCCCCAGTCCTCGTTCCATGCTCTTAGTTCTCCTCCCCACCATCTGAACTCTTTCCAGAGACACTCCATGCATGCTCAAGCAAACACATATACTCTTGCCCTTTCCTTTTTTAAAAAATATAATATAAATATTTATATAGTTTAATATATATATAGTTTTAAAGATTTTATTCATGTATTTGTGAGAGAGAGCACGCACGCAAGTACACAAGCAGGGGGAGCAATAGGCAGAGGGAGAAGCAGGCTTCCCGCCGAGCAGGGGGCCCGATGCGGGGCTCGATCCTAGGACCCTGGGACCATGACCTGAGCCAAAGGCAGACGCCCAACTGACTAGCAACATGCTGTCCTGCACATTACATTTTTTAATTTGTATCTTGGAGATGGCTCCATTTCAGGACATAAAGAGCTTTTTTTCTGCTGTATCTTATTTTCTAGTATAATTTAACCAATCTCCAGATGATGGACATTTTTGCAATTTTTAAAATTATAAACAAAAGTACTACAAACAATAACCTGGGAAATACTTTTCATGTGTGAAGTACATATTTGGAGAATCAATTCTTATAAGTAGAAGCACTGAATCAAAAGGTATGTGCAATTGTAATTTTGATAAATTCCCCCAAACTGCCCTTCAAAGAGGCTATCCTCTTTTTCATTTCTTTATTCAGCAAGACATTTACTGAGACCCTGCTTCGTGCCAGGCATTAATTACGTTAGGTACTCTGGATATGTATCAGTGAACAAAAGAGGAAAATCCCTGCCTTCCTGGAGCTTACATTCTAGGAACCATTTACACTCCCGCCAACAATGGGGTCCCTATCATGTTCGCCCACAGAGGGTTTATCAAACTCTTAGGTCTTTGCCCCTGTGTTAGGTACAAAGACTGAAGTGAGGTGCATTTCACTATCTAGGAGTGAGGTTAGGCATTTCCCCCATATAATGAACAGCCCTGTGTATTTGTTCTTTTGTTAACTTTCATATGGCTTTGCCCACTTTTCTTCTGGGTTGCTGGCCTTTTCTTTTTTTCACAAGAGCCCTTTATATATCAAGGACACGCTATCCATTATGTGTACTGTTTTTCTTCCCCCTCTGGTTTAGTTGCCCCCCCCCCCTTTTTTTAAGTTCATATGCTTCTTTTCCACATAGGAATTTTAAATTCTTATGTAGTCAAATTCATCAATGTTTCCTTTTGTGGCTTCTGGGTTTTTTGTGTCTTGCTTAGAAAATGCCTTCTCCATTTTAAAATTATTTCTGAAAATTCCTCCCGTATTTTCTTCTAGATCTTTAATAGCTTCACTTCTTATACATCTGTTTTTTTTTTAAAGATTTATTTATTTATTTATTTGAGAGAGCGAGAATGAGAGAGAGTACATGAGAGGGGGGAGGGTCAGAGGGAGAAGCAGGCTCCTCGCTGAGCAGGGAGCCCGATGTGGGTCTTGATCCCGGGTCTCCA